CCCACAGCACATGGAGATGCTCCTGCCTGGAAGGAGTCTCAGCTCATTTTGGAGAAGGGTAGAAGATGTGCCAAGAAGGAGGGTGTATCAGGCCACAGAGACTAGGGATGCACCCTTGTATCCCTCTGCAATGCTTCAATGACTCTCAGGGATGCCTGCTCATGGATGAGGACACCATGAGTTGACAGTGTGTGAGAGAAAAGGACTGATCTACAATTTGGTGTCACCTAAGGAGGCCAAGGTCTTAGTGGAGACTCCTGGTTTGTAGGAAAGAAGACACGGGGCAGGCCAGAGATTCGGCAGCAGGAAAATTATTCTTGGTGAATCTGAAAGTGCAATAGGGGTAGAGGGGTAGTTTGCATCTAAACTTAATCAGCATGTCCACAATTGTCTTTAGACTGATGGTGTAGGCTTAGCATCCCAAAGAAAAACTCAAGCTGGTGTAGATCAGGGATGTAGCTTAGCAGATATAACCATCTGCTTCATTGTCTGAAAACCAGAGACTAATGAACTCCTCCTAACACTGTCCCACACCCACTGCCTCACCCTGAGACACGCCCTTACACACACACTCTCACTCAAATGAGCATAAAAAATCAAAGCAAATGGGAAAATTCTGTATTCCTAAACCTATGAAGTCCTTAAGTAAATCCATGGGCATACAGAGTCCTGCAACTCATCCATCCAGTCTCCACAGATGTCTGAGTTTTTCTTGTAAATGGAGTTCTTCATTGGTCTAAATAATAAAAACCAGGAGTCAAACACAGAGGAAACAGCTGAGAGATCAGAGAGCAGAAGAAGCAAGCCAAGCCAACTTTACCTCACTAGCTTCCTAGTGGGAAAAAAAAGCAAGCTCCTATTTTTCCCACTTATATCCTCTCTCCACCCAGCCATCTCACTTCCTGTCTCTGCTCAGCCATCTCATCTCCTGCCTGTCTATACAGATCTCCTGACCTCTATGGTTAGCTAGTGGCAAGCTCCATCCTCTGATCTTCAGACAGGCTTTATGTGTGTGAGCAAGATATCATGGCATTTTCCAGGCACCATTTCTTTAAAATAAATAAATATATATGACAAATACAGGTTCTCACAATTCCATAGTCCCAGTGGACTAAAAGTTAAAAAAGCTAGAGGGTGAAGTCAGGTGCTGACTGGAACCACAGAGTGAAGCACTTAGACAACAAAAAGTCATCCAGTCAGGTGTCATGGTCTAGAAGGAAAGAAGCCAGGAAGTCATCC